TCCCAAGCAATTTTCTAAAGATCTCTCACTTTTCGACCAACTTTTCAATTGAGTGACATAATAGTTAATCACTACGACATTTAAGATATTTAAATTCATATAATTTTAAATTGTATTTTACAATAAGGACAAATTAGTATTAGATTAATATAGGTGTGAATTAAAAACTATCAAATTAGAAAATAATTAACAAAATTAACAGCAAGCCGAAACCACATACGAGTAGCTACGGATCCATGATTGTCACTAAATACTACCTATACAAACAAATGTATATACAAGTTAGATTATATAAATCAATTTAATATCATACTGAATTTATTTACCTATATAAAAAATATTTATCGATTGTACAAATAAATTTATTTATTTATTCATTAGTATATATATGTGTACAAGACAGATTTAATGCTAAAAGCAATCTCCCAGTCAACCTTAAGGAAGTGTTAGAATACTAGGAAACGGTACTAATACTAATTGATATACATACTAAAATTTATATACATAAACAAATATTTTTTTATTTAATTAATTATTTGTTTATTTATTTATTTATACTTATGCCTAATGGCATTCTCTACCAGTCAACCGTTACGCTAAACAGAGAAAGTAAATGACAATGCATTGGTCTAACAAAATCAATTTGTAAATAAAAAAATATTTATATATAACAACATTATTATTATATATAATAACTTTACCAGAGGGAGACTTTGTACAAAAGTCGATTGCTTGGGTACCTCTGTCCCATTCGTGTTTCAATCGTGAAGCAGTTGTGTTTGCATGGCTGTGTTTCGGTTTGAAGGGAGGGATGTGGTAGTGAATTAACAGGGTACAGAGGAATAACACCTGAGTCCATGTCCTATGCCCATGGTACTGCTCATGTCTATAGGCGACGATTACCACTTTCCATCAGGTGGGCCGTCAGCTTGTTTGCCATTCTAAGTTGTATAAAAAAAAATTAATACACACATATATATGGTATATACAAATCTATCGTAAAATAATATATCTAAGTTACAATGAAATCTATATTTAATACCATAATACCATTGCCTGGTTTAAAAGAAGATAGTGAAGGACAGACAAGTGGCAAGATATATACTATAGTACGCGTATATTCAAAGATAAAGGGATTATCACCTAACCAGTACAGAATATAGAACGCCTACTTTATATAAATAGAAATATATCTTTTGAAATAACATTAGTATCTCTGTAATGCCGGCCCATTATGAAGGACAATGGCTAACCCTTTTAGTTTTCAGGTCACTTTCCATATATTTATACTTTGGGAAAACTCTTGAATCGGTGTCAAAATTGAATTCATCAACTTTCCTGTTTGAATAGGATAAGTGTATGAAAGCCTCGGCAGTAAATAGATGTATATACATTAGTATACATATGTATGAATAGCTATATATGTATATTATTTATTTATTTCATCAACTGGGTGAGCTGTACAGTCTTCAAATACGCTGCTCCAGGAAAGCATCAGTACAGTAACACATATGTATAATTAAAAGTATTAATTAATATTAAATTTAATAAGATTTACCTTACATAACAAAATAGAAATAACATCTATATCTTAAATCTCTGAATACAAACACTCTGATGTCATCCGACGAAACTCCAACAAGTTGGAGACAAAAATAAAGTTATATAAAGTACCCTATGTTTTAAGTTAGGATATAACCTATTTACGTCTTAAATTTAATTCAAATCCAATACCAGAAACAACAATTGCTTACTTGGATATCTCTGTCCCATTTGTGTTTCTACCGTTAAGCTGTTGTGTTTGCATGGCTGTGTTTCGGTTTGAAGGGTGACATATGGCTGTGAAATTTCAGGGTACAGAGGTATAACACCTTAGTCCTCAGAAATAGCAACGCATGGGGGGTATCATGGGCGAAACAGTATACTCTGTTATGTCCATGGTACTGCTCATGTCTACAGGCAACGGTTATTACTTTCCATCAATGCCAAACAAGCTAACGGTAGGCCGTTAGCTTGTTTGGCATTCTAAGTTAAATAAAAAATTGAAATTCATTTAATAGTTATTGCGTGAAGTAAAAACAAACATCTTTCTATCTATCTATGCATGGCTGTGTTTCGGTTTGAAGGGTGGGATATGGCGTGAATTTACAGGGTACAGAGGAATAACACCTGAGTCCTCAAGAATGGCAACGCATGCGGGGTATCACGGGCGAAACAGTATGTGTGTGTACCGTTATGTCCATATACTACTCATGTCTATAGGCGACGGTTACCACTTTCCATCAGGTGGGCCGTCAGCTTGTTTGCCATTCTAAGTTGTATAAAAACAATCCTTACAAACTTCCGCATTTATAATAGTGATATTTATTTTATAGATGGTAATGAAATGGTAACCCCGCCTGCGCTATTGGTATTCACTAGCAAGGTGCCAATCAATGATGGTAGGTGAGAATATAGTCAGGTTAGTTGACCCCTCGTGACAAATTCAACAAGAATTAACCACGATAGTTTTCAAAGGGGACCGCGTAGAGGTCGACCTAATTAGTATATTGCTAGCAATAGGGACTAGTGTCTCCATCACTAAGAAGCCTTCTTCTTCCTATCTGTTAATTATATACATAATTATTGTTTGTATTTGTTTGTTTGTATTTTAATAAATAACCAAATGGATTGTGGAAGGCGTGTACGGATATGCATTGTCTATGTAACGGTGGCTTTGAACCTGGGTCTTAATGCTTAAGTTAATTATAGCTACTGATCAGTGGTTGTCAACATTTTACAATACATTTGTAAATCTTTTACAAACACTGTTCCCATTGATATAGGATGCTTCTAATGAACAACTAATGATGTTTGGTTTATCTGCTATTTTTTAATGCTTTCATAGCACTACACTCTCACATTACACCAACACATACATATATATAATATACAAAAAACAGGACATAGAAATTAGAAGATTTTGTACAAAATACGTCACTTCCGTTAAGCATATTTACATGACTGTGTTTCAGTTTAAAGGAGCATACGGCAGTTACATCACAGGGTAAAAGGTTCCATGGGCATTTCAATGGATTCTGTCCATGCTTATAGCGCTGTTCATGTCGACAGTTACCATTTTTAATAAGGTATGGCTTCAGCTTTTTTATTACATTACAACACTTGTTACTACATTACTACACTAATTTTCAAATCCCTACCTTGGGAAACCATAATTTTATCATAAAAACATAATCCATTTTTCCGTCTATAAGAATATAATAACAAAATATGTTATATATAACCGACAGAAGATTAGTTTAATATCTTCTTATGTTGATTTATACAATATCGATATATCGGCGACAGACTTACATTAATGACATTAACATAGCTTGAGTACTAGTGATGTAACAATAAATGTTTCATGTCGATAAAAATAGTATTTGCTTTTTCACTAGCTGTGCTCGCAATGTTTATATATTTGCTCATAAAAACGAGACATTTTATAATAATAAAAGATAATCCAAGCCAGGAGCCAATGTTGAAGAGTGTATTAAGTTTATACCATACAACGTTTTAATAAAAACTGCCCAGTGGGTTAATGTGAATTGTAGACATGGATATACATAATTTAATTTCAGTTTCGCTATATTATGACAATTTTATCTAAAGAGAGTTGAATAAATAAGTATAATATTACAAAGTATTTTATAGGCCTAATTTATTCAGTGTAGGACGAATAAATTATAAATATTTTTGCAACATCATCATAAACAGCCATTAACTGTCCACTGCTAAACATAAGTCCCTCCCATTAGTACATTACTGCAGCGGCCAGCAACTGAGGCATTGATGGTTGAACGTGCAAATGTGAGCCGAGGCGTAGCCGAGGCACACATACGTAAATCCATCAATGCCTAGTTGTGGCCAAGGCTTGTATAGTACTTTTCTCAAACAATGCACGGAAATCAAAAACACATTTTTACTTTTTAAGTTAAATGACGAATAACGAACAATAATAATTTTTCACGCGCCATAATGTTTCTTTGGTTTTTTTTTCAATAAACAGCTTTCTATTTGCAAGCCAGTTCGACATTTAAATAAAACCTTGTAACACCGAAATGTTTACGTATTACGTATGTATAGTAAGTATCTACGCCGTGAGACCCATCTAAACGTAACCGTGCGACCGACCAATAGGAGCGCGCCTCTCGCGCTTCCAGAAAGTTCGCGACTAATGGACGATATAGGAGTAAGGCGATGAGTGTTCCAGTGACATCATTATAATACTGTTTCTTGTTAAGTTTTATTGTAATACACACAATTTTATAATAAATAAAGTGTTCCTCCGTTACAACCTTTTATTAGTTATCTTCTTGGTAGCCATGTTTCGAAGTAAAAGGTCATTCCATTTTTAAATTACAGGATAGATATGAGTTTACATAGTAATTTATCTGGCCGCAAAACACGACAGATATGGATTTTCATACAATCTTTGCCGGCCGTTGCCCGCATGTATCCAGCCAGTACGGCAATTTTGATTTATCTCGAAGAAGATTGTCAAAATAATGCTAACATTTCCAAGCATGTTTGAGAAAAATATATTAAAAGAAGATTTCCTTACATTTTGAGTTTATTCTTTTCAAATATTAAGAATTATAATTAGTTTGGTTATATCTATCTTGTTAACGTAAAACGTAGCTCTAAGGAACTAATACTTTTAAAAAGAGGCTTTACGCATATTTTATTTTATTGACATTATTTTAACTCTTGATAACACGAAATACATAAGAAAAAACAATGACTCAATTATTGTCCTTGGTTCGTTTCGTAAAGTAAATCTATCAACGTTAAACAAAAATAGAAAAATTGAAAGAGCAACGAGCTTATTATGTAAATATCGTTAAAAATAGTAACAACCATTTACAACAATTTTAATAATATAATTTTTTCAAACAGTATTATCGATATCCGGAATGGATGTCACAACACTATCGTGCGACAAGCCCACTTTGAAAATTCGATTAACGAGGTACTACACTCACAATATTGTCTAGTGTCCCATGAGGCTAACTGACCAGCGTTTGGCTGCAAATACTCAGGTCTCGCTACCAGTACTGTGTGTGATCATGAATTTATAAACTGGTATTTAAGGTAAGAGTCTCGATATTTCTCTTTATTCTATAAAAATAATGAGGGAAGTACTGTTTTCATAAAATAGTGACGCGAAAAATACGGTGATGAAACTTATCGATGAACCAAGTGGTTTGCTGCGAAAAAAACTGCGAACTTTACCCTTGTTCTTCCGTACAATTTGGCATTTCAAATTGATACTGGTTCGATAATAGTCTGACATTTCCTTTGTCATAAATCCTACTGAAATTTTACCATATCAACAGCAGTTCTTTTGTAATTTCAACAAATATTTTCAATATTTCGTTCGACTCCACAATTTCAGATTTTTCATGGTAGGCTATTTTAAAGTGAAGTGAAGAGTTTTGAAATGGTCATTATCTTGTAAAATATCATGTCCTGTAATTATGTCATGTAATTATACTTCATTAAAAAAAATGCAGATACAATTTTTTTGTCACATTTGTTCTCAAATAATTTTTTTTTGTTTAATTAATTACATTTAATATATTTAATTTTAGTGTATTGTTATTTAAAACCAAAATTCATTACCACAAGGTCATATTAAATGAGCTTCATAGAGCAATCTTTGCGTAAACGAGGTCGAGATTCACTTCTCGGTCAGTCTAATTTGGGAAAAGATTCGGCATCCAGCTGTTATGGGGTTCGTTACATGTGTACATTTCAACCATAATATGGTTATGAAGTATACTAGTTTACAACCAGACTATTAACATTTGTATGTTTTATAAAAATAAAAGCTCGCGATATCATTCGCATGGTGTATTTTATATTTTCCCATAGAAATTCCATATAAGGTAATAAGTTTATTATCACATAGTGCGTATATACCTTACCTGCCGTGTGATCCCGGTGTAACATAGGCCACCCCTTCCTTTCCTGTAGGTGTCATAAGAGGGTACTAAGGGAACTTAATGCTCCCTTAGTCCCCTCTTATGATGTGTGATGCTGTGAGTGTCTCAGTGTAATGTGTACAGCGGCACAGCGCTGGTTTTCAACCAGTCCTTCTCTTGACAAAATACAACAAAAAACAACTGCAATTAACTCCATACAACCAGATTGTGATACAAAACCTAATCTGTAAATAAAATATAATTTGGAAAAAATCTGCATGACATAGATAGATACCCTTTATTGTTTCCTCCAAAAGATTACAACAGTAAACTTACTATAGATACAAACAATTACAAGAAATAATCACAATGAGAAAACAACGAGCGACCTTATCGCTAAAAGCGATCTCTTCCATGCAACCTTTGGATGGAAAGGAGTAATTATAAACTGTTTGATTGGAGGCACGATGAAGATCCTATTATTTCTAAATACGGAGATAAAATACATGTAATAATATAAATTTGTAATAAAAATAGTATATTTGTAATGGATAAACTCAAAAACTACTCAACCTATTTTAATTTTTTTTTCATATATCGATTGCTACTTTACCAGAGAGTAACATGACATAAGGCTATAATATATTATTTTCAAAAATTGCATCTAACCCGTACGAAGCCGGGCTGCGTCGCTAGTTATTAATACAAGGATGAATGTGAATGACCATGAGTATAGAGTGAGACCCAAAAAAAAGGATAGAGTGTGTGAAAGATAATATGGCCAGAAAATAGGGTATTAATGAAAGAGAAAATCATATTACGCCGACCCCAAATAAGTTTAAGACAAGGGCAAGATGATTTTACCTATTAAATTGAGACACAGTAATTTATTTGTAAATACAAATGGTACTAATAGATATGTAGATGTATAAATGAAATAGAAATTTTGACACATACAAACAAGCGAGTGAAATTTTGATATGTTTATTTCTCGATTATGTTCTTGTATGATTTTTATTTATTTAAATTGTGATACATAGGTAACAATGGATGGTAAAACAAGATAAGTCCTCTATGATCAACCCCATATATCGAGGTATATAAATTTCCAATTAAATAAGACAAAAAAATATATATTAATTAATATTAAACGGATTTAATTGAAATTAGATATCTCACTACCTATAAATACAAAATACTGGCAATTTTAAGTAAATTTAAATAAAAAGTGACAAAATTTTCAATTAGCTTGTGTATTTTTATACGTTATGTCAGAACTCTGCCATTTATGAACCGAATTGAAAATTTTTTTTTTATCTGAAACTGTACTACTTAATATACTTTTAAATTGATGTCATAAAAAACTATAAAATTTGGTTCAGTGGTTTGGTTTTTAAATTCAAATAGTTTTGCCACGATTGTAGTATTTTTTTTTATGGGACAAATTAGATTTTATAATAATACTATGTGTAATCTATATAGTATTCTGTTATGTTTTTGTTTAAATTCAAATCGTTTTTGTTCTAATAGACTTGTACAAGTACTTTTAAATTGTAAATATTTTATAACTACTGCAGGGTAAATTTGTTATCTGTTGAAAAAAGCACGCAAGTATCTCAACAGCTACGCTTTTAAATCTCTGTTAACATACATACATACATATACATACAAAAATACATATACCTACATATATATGTTATTACAAAAATAATAAATTGATTTTTTTTTATTTGTGTAATAACAAAGTTATTGTTTTAAAACTTGATAGGTACTGTATAGTTTGTATAGGAGTTGATAAAATATTCTATAGTTGAACAACTTGTACAGTAAACAATTTGTCATAAAAAGTTCTGAAAAGTACAGGTCTTTTCAGCTGGAGGCTCTCAGACGACCTCGGATTAAAAGATATACTAATACCGAATTTTATTTTTAAATAACAATGTACTGACACTCAAAATTTTAAATTAAGTGGGTAATGATTACATACATTAAAATATGGAAAAATCTTTGCAAGAAGTTTGTTTTGAAATACTTTGAAGTTGACCACTTCACATGGATAATTATTTTTCTTTCCAAAAATTCCATCTTCCAGTGGTAAGCCGAACCGAATTCTCCCTCCGCTCTTTAAGAAAAAGAAATCAAAATATTTGAAAATAAATGCAAAATATCAAATCAAATTGATTCCATCAATTTTATTAAACACGTAGTGATATCATGAAATCATGGAAGATGTCAAATTATTTTTTTTTTTGGTGATAAAATCTAGTCAAATACCTAGTACGAATACCGCGATATCTCCAGTGATACATCGTTTTAGTGATCCTAGTAACCTAAATCTAATAAAAAGGGGAAAGTATTAAGAAATACTAGACATTTCATGAAATATCTAGAAATATCACGAAATCGTCAAAGGTATTGAATATTCTAATCTATTCATGTTGTTGCTGATATAATCTCTCGAAATACTGCAATGTTCAGTGAAACGTAGTTACGCCTAAATGTAATAAAACAACATAGAGAATATTCATGTTTTTAGAATATAAAAGCACACTACAATTACAATTAATATAACCCAACTGCATGTTATTCAATATATTCCGTGATATAATTATTTCACGAAACCGTTAGTTCGTATATGGACTTAATGATAAATGTGCATGGTGTCATTCATATATATATATATATATATATATATATATATATATATATATATATATATATATATATATATATAAATTTAATTAAGTATGTATTAATAACTTAAAATGTGCAAATGTACATTATACACATAGAATAATATAGAAATATATTTTCACAGTATTAAAGTCATATTTCTATATGTATTTAAAAAACAAACAGAGTTTCATGCCTCCAGATAAACTGTTTGTAACCACTTTTCTCCATCTAAAGGTTGCTTGGAAGAGATCGCTTTTAGCGACAAAGCCACCCATTATTTTCTCAGTTTATTATAGTCTTGTAATCGTATTTATAATAAGTTTACTATTGTAATCTTATGTTGGAAACAATAAATAGTATCTATCTTTGAGCCCTAGATGATAGGTGAGGATAAAGTAGGTCAGTTAGCCCATTGTGACGAATTCAACAAGAATTGTTCACGATGGTTTCCAGGGGGAACCACGTGGAGGTCGACCTGGTTAAGTATATTGCTAGCAATGGGGCTGTCAAACTGCGTTGCTAACAATCCCATTCCCCCTTATTACCACGGGTTATAGATTATCATTCGAATAAGATTCACCATATGTATTCTTAAAATAGACAGCGCTATTCTAAATAACCGAGATATTGGTATGGGGGAAAAGATATATTATATACATATATATTGTTTATATGATCCACATATTTTTTGCAGCAATAAAAATATGCTATAACGTTGGAAGCCATGTGATGACAGAGATACGAATTTAGATGTCAGTACACATCAATTATAGCACGACTAGCGGTCTGTCCTGGCTTCGTATGGGTAGTCATTCAAGCATACGACCCGTCTGATGGTAAACGGGGTTACCGTAGCCTAAAGACGCCTGTAACTCCAAGGATGTTTGAGGGGAAAGGGATTGTTAGCAATGGAGTTTGACAGCCCCATTGCTAGCAATATGCCCTATTAGGTCGACCTCTACGTGGTTCCCCCTGGAAACCATTGTGAACAATTCTTGTTGAATTCGTCACGCTGGGCTAACTGACCTGCTTCATCCTCACCTATCATACTTTACTGGTACCCCGCCGGTGTATACCGATAGCGCGGGTGGGGTTACCATTCCATTATCACCCGTTAAAAAAAAAACTCCAAGGATGCCACGCGCGTTGCTACCCTTTACAAATCTTAATAGGCTCATTTTAATTACCAATTAATTCATTTTAATAATCAATTACTAGAGAGAGACTTTGTACAAAAGTCGATTGCTTGGGTACCTCTGTCCCATTCGTGTTTCAACCGTGAAGCAGTTGTGTTGGCATGACTATGTTTCGGTTTGAAGGGTGGGATATGGCGTGAATTTACTGGGTACAGAGGAATAACACCTGAGTCCTCAGGAGTGGCAACGCATGGGGAGTATCATGGGCGAAACAGTATACTCTGTTATGTCCATGGTACTGCTCATGTCTATAGGCAACGGTTACCACTTTCTATCAGGTGGGCCGTCAGCTTGT